CCCCCCCTTTTTTTTTTTTGTTCAAAGTGTTCAGAAGAAGCCGCGCTGACGCATTCATTTCCACTGACCGGCAGCCTCACCTGCAGCACCTGTGACTTCTGGGTATGACAAGAGTAAAATAATTTGTGGTGGCCAATATCAGTGAGGGACAATAGAAAACAAGTGGCAGAAATGCATCACATTCGTTAAGGCTGTGACTACCGTTGCTGAGTTCCCCTGACCCAGCCGAGCTGTTGCTACATGCCGGCAAAAGCCACAAAGCGTATTTTCCCAGCTCTTCATGGACATGCGCAGGGATTCCCAGTCTACTGCCTTTTTTCTTGCTCACCTCTGGTAGCTTGCACACTGCACGGTGCCGTTGGCAGCCCAGGAGATGGCTCCATCCCTGCCCTGGGGACCTCACTGCCTAAGGAAGTACCGACTAAACAAACAGAAGAGTGGGAGTGCACTGTTTAGAAGGAGAGATGTGGCCACGCTATCGCAGTAACCATTGCACCCCAGTGTAACACCACCAAGTGACTGAAAACACTGTGTGTGTGTGAAAGTATTAATGCATTCAATACCTCATATTGATGAATTCAATACCATCAGCTTTGAAAGTGGAGCTGTTTCCTCATGGCAGAGCCAAACTGAGGCTGTCAATGAACATCACCAATTTGGTTACATGATGTCCTTCATCGTGCTCTCAGTAGGGGAGACCTGTGCTGCAAGGAGCTGTTGATAGCAGTGCCTGAACTTGTGCCTCACTGCAGTTTGCATCCACACTGAGAGGCTCCCCAGGTGTTTCACCTGTATTAATGCTGAATTTGACAAGACATCTTTAAGTCAGGCACAGTCTAAAATGCTTTTCCCCATGGCTGACAGGTCATGAGCACTGCAACCCCTCAGGTTCAAGACTCTTGGCTGGACAAAGCATGTCCGCTCTTTGGAGGTAGCCCACAAGCTTCCTGGGAACAGCAAGAAGGCTTCTTCTCTGCAGTTTTCTCCAGCAGTTTGCTTTAATCAACCTCTTAGAATCATAGCATCATAGAATGGTTTAGGTTGGGACCTTGAAGATCATCTAGTTCCAACCCCCCTGCCCTGGGCAGGGACACCTCCCACCAGACCAGGTTGCTCAAAGCCCCATCCAGCTGGGCCTTGAACACCTCCAGGGATGGAGTTTCTACAGCTTCTCTGGGCAACCTGTTCCCATGCCTCACCACCCTCAGAGTGAAAAATTTCCTCCTAATATCCAATCTAAATCTACCTTCTTCCAGTTTGAAGCCATTCCCCTTTTTCCTATCTCTTCTCTGTTCTTACCAGCACAACCTTAAATTTCTATAGCTACAAAAAACGAAGAAGGTGTTATAAACTAGGTTGCTGCTAAACCGTGTGCCAGATGGTCTTGCTACAGCGAGTGGCTGCTAACTCAAAGCCTTGCAGGTTGGCTTTTTCCAGTGCCACGTTCTTCAGTGCTCAATCAGAAGTAGGTGACAGCTGAACTGTTCCAGAAGAGGCAGAAAGCACTGGGACAGGCGATAGTCCGTAATGTGTGAGGTGTGGCTGTGCCTCCGACAGGACCGGCAAGGACACGCTCCACGGCAGCCAGGGCAGGCAGCACCGCCAGCGAGCATCGCGCAGGGGTTTTTCAGCGCATTTCAGGCACAGGCTGACATTCAGTGAACTATGACATTTCCATTTCATCGGAAGAAATGAATACAAATGAGGGATTATTCACCAAATTATCCCCTGTTAGCAAGCGTTAGCAGTAGCAGGGGGAAGAGAGAAAGAGAAGCTGGCAGCTCTTGTTTCCTATATGCTGTTTACTTAGGAATGGCTGTTCCTTAAGAAGATACACTGTGGCCCCACTCCAAAGATTGAATCCCTTTTTCTTTTGTTCCTTTCCTAAAATCTCTTCCTTCTGTGACTATGTTCTTTCTCCCTTGCAATTTCTGACAGCCGTTGGTTGACACACACTTAACTTGTGGATGAGCTTAAGTGATTTTTAATCTATATTTAAACTAAGCGATTAAGCAAACAAACAGGACAGCTCCCACGGGTTCGTTTCTCAGGTCTCGCCTTGCTCCTGACAGCTAACAGAAGACGCAGGTTTAGTTTCACAACGCAGCAAGGAGTCAGACATGTTGGTTTTGCAAGATTTTTGTACAGTTTTTTGGTTTTGTTCTGGGTTGCTTTCTTTTTTTTTTTTTTTCCAGTGAAAGTCTGTCCCATTCCTCAGAGCTGCCGAACCGACAGGCTCCACACACGCAGCGGATATGGCAGGAGAGCCCCATTGCACACTGCCTCCCTGATGTGGTGGCTCCTCTGCCAAGAGCAGCTCTCTGCCCGAGTGGGAAACATGCAGTCTGCAAGCCTACAGTTGGCCTCTCTCCCAGGAATTGTAATTAGTACCAATTATGACGGTGTGCCTCATGATGTGAGTTCCCATCCACTGGGAATTAAGTGCAGAAGATCAAACTCTTTTCGGGCAGACCAAATATAGATTTCAGGTACTGTCAGCATTTAGCCGTTATTCGGCTAGGCTGCACTATCATATGTAGCTTCTTAAATGAAATAGGAAAGCTGCTCCATCAGAGTACGCAGTGATTTACAGTGGAAATGAATTTCTATATTTAGGCAGTGTGTGATTGTCACCACCAAACAAACTTTATACATCTGTACAAAGTCCTGTTATCAAAAAAGCACAGTCATTTAGGGGAAGACACTTCCTTTTCTGCTCATTTCTATTAATTATAGCTACCTTTCTCATTGGGGCTGTGGCAGAAGTCCACCTATGGTTGGTCAAAAAGAGAACTGAGCCAATTTGGATGAGGAGGAAACTAGGGCTTGATCCTTGGGGAGGGAGGGGGGGGAACGGGACGACAACAAAACTACGGATCAGCTCAAACTATTCCACACAATTTCTCCTCTGAAGTGCAGTGTTACAACATTGGGAAATTCTGATGCGGGGATTTTTTGCAGCTAGTGGTCCTGACTTTCACTGGCTCCTGAGCAATACTGCACCCCCGACAATGTCATATTCTGCCTCTCTGGCTGATCTCATTTGTAACTTCATAATTATGTGCGGCCACAGACCAGCCTGCCTGAAAGCCACAGAGTGGGAGCCACTATCATAGTCTTTCGCAAAGCCTATCGAACTACTCACACCGCCTCAGAAAAAGCATCGCATCTTGCGGGAGTTGGCAGACCTCGGTTTTAAAACCAGCAGGGCCCCCTGCTCAACAAGGAAGAGAGAAAAAATTATCGGCCTCAACAAGGTAGCGAGCAAAGCTGGCCTTCAGCTTCACCCGCATTTGTACAAGTGGGCTGCACATGTCAATACACTCCCTTTGCAAACGATGCCCTTGGATCACATTTCTGAATCCTTTCACAGCGCTACCTGTGAGGAAACACAGAACAATGAAAAACGAGGGGGGGACGATGAACACAGGCAACAACGCAATCACCCACTGGGGCAGCTGGGTGGGGACCTGGATTGAGAGAGGAGCTAAATCGGAGCGCAGGTGCCACAGCAAACCCGATCCTGTGATGTCAGGAGATACGCTGAAGAAGTCGAGATACAGCCGCTGCCCGGCCGGTCGCATGCATAATGGCGAGCAATGAGACAGCCAGTGCTGACTCACCGGCGTTTTGCCATGCACCTGAGTGTGCATCCTCCCTGGGAAAAATCAAGCGTAATTACCACTTAAAAGAAGAGACAGACAAAAGGGTGAAGACAAGAGCCTGAGTCTGGTTTTCCCTTGCGGTGTAGCCCGTCTAGTCACTGCAACCTGCAGGAAGTGATGTCAAATGCTTCTTCGTATCATTTTCTATCAACCTTGCAGAGGCAGAAATAGCCACAACACGCAAGTCAGTGGAAAATCAGGCTTCGGCTATTCATGGAAAAATTACTACAGTTGAAATCAAAGCAAGAAAGATCCTAGTATCTGCTTTCCCATATAGAGCTCTTGATTGATAGGAGCTCTGTAGTTCCTGAGTCCACAGCAATAAAAATACTTTACGATTCTACAGCAGCTAATAGGTATTTCTGGTGTGCACTGGAGATGTGTGCTTTTGAAATGCCTTTTAGGAACTTAAAAAAAGGAGAGAAACAACGTGAGAATACAGCTCCCACTGTCCTGGCCTCTGAACTACTTTATTGCTCCTTGGAAATAAAGCAATGCCATGGGGGATGCACAGAGATGTCCTGGTTCATCTGTTCACTGCCACTCTAGTTAAATGCAGAGGCAAAGAGCTACCACAACATTATACCATATTTTAAGATTACAGAATGAATCTTTAGTTTAAATGAAATGACAATGCCACTAGCTTCAAAAATACTTTCTGAAATATTCCCAGAAAAGATAAGCACCTATATTGTACTCAGCCCCTCTTTCAAAGGCAAATTCATCTCCTGACTGACTTGCACAGGAACGAGTCCTACTTCTCAGATGTTCTATAAATAATTTAGAAGTATGTTGCCATCTGCTGGAGAAAGTACATCTCTTAATAAATCCACATGTGAAGAAGTGGGCAAGGTTTAAGGCACTAGAAGCCCTTTCTTTAAATCTGCAGCAGAAACAGCAAACATCAGACTAAGGATAGGTTGGGAGACAATGCTCTGAGCTTAATTTAATCATGTCGATCCATTAGACACTTTTACGTGAAAAGAGGAATTAACACTTAACTGGAAGGGGTGAGCGAATTAGCAAGAGGAAGGTGGTAAGATTCATATCCCCTATATGAACCAGGGAAAGGCAGCAGTTAACACCAAATAGTGAGGGGCTGGGTCGAAGAGGGATCACTAGGAAAACCATAAAATGCTGTAAGACCATTGTCTCTGCCGAGTTACCAGTTTCAGTTCTCAAGCTTATCATTTATAGATCCTCCTTGAGGATCAGAACTAAGGGATTAGCCACAGAATGCTGGTGACGGGAAGGTTTTCTCACTGTAAAAGCATATTTCTGTCCTTTTTCTCTGGTGGTTGTATGCTTATTTGAGGATTGATGGGTTATGCCCGTGGAGTTTCCATGAGGGCACTCGGTGTGCTCGCTGAAAGGCAGCATGCTCTGGAGTGCACGTGTAGCATCAACAGACCTTGATAGTTCACTTGTGGGAAAACTTCTGAAGGTGCCAGAGGAGCTGTGGTAAGCAGGTCTGCGATTGCTGCTCTGGCGTGATACGATTCCACCCAGCGTTTGCCGGTCTGCAAGAAGTTTGCTCCTGACAAGGAGTTTGGAGAGCTTGGGAGGTTGGTTAATGGTTAGGAGGTGGGCTCTGGCAAACTCATTTTGAGCTTTGATCTCTCCCAGTGTAAATTAGAATTGGCTTCCCATGTAGGTTCCAGTTCAGGTTCTCATGGGTAACTGTGATACCCATAGGTACACAGCCACAGCACTTTCTTTACTGCTGTAAATTTGTACATAGAATTCAAGTGGTCACTCAAAGATACTGTCTGTGTCACTGGGAAAGTGTCACTCTTGGGGAACGGTCTCTTGACTGGGTGGGGGACTTTGGTATCTGCAGCACTTTCCTCGCAGTGGGGTGTCTGAGAGCCTGGCTGTATATTACATCTTTTTTTTGTATTTTATGGAGGCTGTTGCGTTTGGGAAAATACCGCCAGGTTATCTCAGGGGCAGTTCAAGTCATTTAAATCTGAGCTGCGTTTGTTCTGCCCTTACCTCTTCCCACAGCCATGTCTTTCCGCCCCCTCTTCTGCATGAGCACTCATGTTTAGACCGTGGGTCACACAGTCATCTGCTGCAGCGCAAGGAACAGGCTCACTCTGCAATCACACGTGCACTAACGCTGGCATAAACTACAGGCTGGACAGGGCAGCCAGGAGTGACAGAGACATAGTGTTGTGGAAGCCCAGATTTAAACAAGCTTAATCTTAATCCAGTCTGGACCTTGGACACAGTGTATGTTTGTCAGTGCCGTTATCTAGAATCTGTTCCTCAAGGCAGCTGAAGAGATTAGCATGTCATATAGCATCTAGATGTCGATAGCTGTGTCCACAGCTTGGAGAAAATGCTAACTGTTTAACCCAAATTTACTGCAAGTGTGATCACAGCCATACAAAAACAAGACCAGAACTTAGGTTTCCAATCCAAACCCATCACCAAAATCATTCCCTTTAAGTCTTTCCCACAAGTCCGTCTTATAGACTTATACCACCACTACACACAAAATGTAATCACCTGATTCTCCATGCCCTCCTGGTGAATCAAAGAGATGATAAATCTTTTGCCTGCAACTTTTGCTCTCCCCTTCTCTTCAGAATAGGAAATCTGTGGATGCGGCACTGGGATATTATTGTTGTACACGTTTGTAAATTAAGTAGTCATAGCAAGATGATTAGGGGACTGGAGCATCTTTCTTATGAGGAAAGGCTGAGGCACTTGGGTCTTTTTAGTCTGGAGAAGAGAAGACTGAGGGGGGATCTTATCAATGCTTATGAATACTTAAAGGAAGGGTGCCAGGAGAATGGGACCAGTCTTTTTTTAGTGGTGCCCAGTGATAGGACAAGAGGTAACGGGCACAAATTTGAACATAGGAAGTTCCATCTAAACATGAGGAGGAACTTCTTTGCTTTGAGGGTGGCAAAGCACTGGAACAGGCTGCCCAGAGAGGTTGTGGAGTCTCTGACTCTGGAGATATTCAAAACCTGCCTGGACGCTGTCCTGTGCAGCCTGCGCTAGGTGACCCTGCTCTGGCGGGGGGGTTGGACTAGATGATCCCTGAAGGTCCCTTCCAACCCCTATAATTCTGTGATTCTGTGATGTTTCATTTCCAAATAAGGCGAGGATCTGGCTTCCAATTTAACCACACTAAAATCAGACAAAGTTTTCTCATAAGGTATCAGTCCTAACTGGCAATAATATCTGCCAGAACGAGAAAGAAAATCTCTTCCATTTCTAGACCTGACCAAGAAAGAAAAAAGAAAAAAAGATTATAAAGATATGTCCTGATCTAGGCTTTGAATGGAAACACCCCATACAGCTGGACACTGAGTAATTTGTGCACAAATTTCAATTTAGCCTAATTTCCAGGTATATTTTGAGAGAGTTTATTTCCCCCTTACCAAATAACCCTTCAGTCTTCTACTGCTAAAAATGTGACTAAAAAGAGAAAAAGCATAAGCATCATTGTTGAAGGCAACAGGGAGAGACCTCCTCTGAAATGAGGGGTCAAACTGTGCTCATCCCTGTTACACAAACATGAGCTGAAGCTGCAACCAACGCAGAGAAGAACTACTTGGATGCTCCAGGAAACGAATTGTCTCCTCTTTTCAAGAGGAGAAAGGCAAGAACTTCTTGGTTTGGTAAATCCTGGATTTGGTACATCTGAATGAAGGCTATGATTGGTGATGATTTTTGCAAAGGAAATTAACGCTCTAAAATGTCCTGTACACTAAAGGACAGTGTTTGAACAAGAACAAATGGATTCAGGCTAGCCACAGCTTACATTAGACTGGAAATCAAAGCTTGAAATCATGAGAGTAATCAGTATCTGGAACAGGTACGAGCTGGAGCAGTCAGGCAAAAAAACCCCACGCTTTCAGACAGAGATTGATAGGAACAGAGGAAGGACTATATGATGTGGTATCTACAAGAGTGGGAGAATGGATCTGATAGTCCAAGAATTCTCTTCCTACCTCATTAGCCTAAACCTAATGTAATTTGTGTGTACCTTTTGAGAAGCTGAAAGAGAACAGTTACTGTTTATGATGATGATCAGGATGATTGGAAAGCCAAGGAATGTGGTTTTGTTGTTTTGGCTCAGAGCTGCCACATAAAGAGGGCAAACAGCAGAGGCTGGATCTGGGACTTGGCTCCTGCCAGCACTCTCAGGCAGGCTGAGTCAGGAAGAGCCATCTTATGTTTTTGGCAAAGCAGACAGAGGTGACCCCGCGGAGGTGTGCCATGGGAGCCTCCAGGAACCCACCTAGCGCGGGACCTGCACGTCTGGCTCAGCGCTGGGGAAAAGGCCTGACGCAGTGCAGTGCAGACTGGAGCCCTAGTTTATGGGGGTGAGGTGTCCAGTAAAAGAGCAGAGGAAAAGGAGATTTAACTTTCTTGTTTGTGCAAAGCCAACCACATGCCACTGCTACTGGTGGTGCCTCACTGCCACCTGTTTTGAGTCCTTTTGAAAGAAGACAGGCCCAAAGTTGATAGCTCATTTGAAGGGGTTCCAGGAGGCAGTAAGGATCAGCACTGCCACCTGATGCGTAAGCCAAGTTTGGGAAGACCTGCTTTACCTTGTAATGGATGCCTCTGTGTTACAAACTGTCCTGTACCCAGTGGGACAACATTTCTGTGTTCCTTCCAGAAAGTGAAGATTGCGTATAATATCTAGTATATAGTATACATACAGTATATACATGTACATCTGTATTCATTTTATATAGGATGAAACCCAAAAGTGTTGTATAAGAGATTAGTCTTCTCGTTAATGCCTTTGTTAGAAATTCTGCTAGCTTAATCTAGAGGGTAAAGCTGTAAATAGCAGCTGTCAGCATAATCAGAACAGCTCTTAAGTATGATTTAGTACTTCAGAACCCCAGCTCTGCAAGTACTATTTAGTGATAGAGAGGCTGGGTCCAACACGCCTAGTCTAGAAAGCTGGGATAAACTTGCACAGCAAACCCAGCACAGTTCAAGCACAGCCTTATGCAGGATCCCCATATGCTTTG